TATTTCACACGAGATGACAGTTTCTATAGCATGGCCATCTTTTAATATATCACTTCTAACCCTTCTGCTTTGAAGGTTGCAAGAGTTAGGAGAAGATTCCAGTGAAAGAGGGCTGTTAATAGGTTTGAGGCAACAAGCTGTCAGAGGAAGCTATTGCAATGAAGCTGCACAAGCAGTGTGCTGGGAATGTGCTTAAGCACCCCTGTTTACAGCTGCTGGGAATTGGGCTGCAAGAATCACCTAGAGAACTGTGTCAATGACGATAGCAATCGACAAGACAGGACTTTTGAGAAACAGCAGGATTACCCAAAAGGGCATAGTATGAGGAGCCTACCAGATAATGAGTACTAAAGGGAAAGAAGAATGTGCTTTAGCAATAGTAGTTACATAACAACATGTTCCCAGAACTTTAATTGGTCTATAGTGATTTATTCTCATTATAACATTTAGAGAGGTACTGGCTTCATTAGGTAGCTACTTTTTGAGCTATTTACTCGTAGCTACGGACATAGTCTGGTACTGAAAGGCATGTTTGCTTAAATATATATTGTGCTTATTTTAAATGCAATTAAACAGAGTGAGATGTTTGGTGGCCTAATTATAATATAGCAATATAATATAATAAAGACTGACACAGAAATCCATTTTTCTTAACTGTTCTGGGTTAGAGTATCTCTCAATATGTATGCTGAGTACAAAAATCATCCTATTGCTGCCAAGTCCCACCAAACATTTTTTTTCAAAATGGCTAAGGTGGATTGCTAAGCACATAGCAGTCAGTTCTGCACTTGACATGATTATTTTACATATACTCATCGCAAGAACAAATTTAAGAACTTAACATCGTCTTGATTTTTGGTTTAAGAATTTTCATATACAGTGTTGTTGTAAAATTGAAATTTTATTTTAAACAAGAGCCATGCAAATAACTCAGTTTGAAAAGTTCCATCAAGTTCCTCCCCGAGCACCACTGTTCTCAGATAGACTTAAAGCCACATGATCTCAACAATATGCGTTCCTACCTCCATATATCTGGCAAATCACAATTTTCATGCATGCAGTAGTTAATTTTACAAGATGATGTACACACATTTAGGTTGGTCAAAACCACTCCAGTATTTCAGCTACTCAGTCCTATTGCATTGTGACATGAATGGTTTACTTTCTGAATTAGAAAGGCAATTTATTAGAAATAAATGAGTCTCAGAAGTGTTAGCATAAGGTCTGTTCTTTTTGCAAAATATTCTGTTCTTCTTGCAAAATAGAAAATCATGGTTTTTCGGGTGTTCTTTGGGTGGTCCTTTGACATCATTGCACTTTTTCATCCTTATAAACTCTTTCCTCAAAGGCCCTGTGCCATAGTAATTTTTGTTCAATATAGACTGTGTCCAGCTTCCAGAGCTGCTTAAAGCAGCTCCATTGCCCAAAAGAGGATAAATAGGAGTGAAACTCTCCACCCGCTAGAACTGAGCAGTTTGTGTTCTCAGTATCCGCAGTTTTTGCTGACGTGCTAAAGAAGATGGACTGAACTAAATGAAGTGAAACTGGATGCCTCATGCCACAGCCAGACAGTTGATGTGTGCATGTTTTACCCAATGTCTTCTTTGGTAAAGCAGCATATTTTAACACAGGGTTGAGCCTTACAACCATAGGCATACGCATGGGGTGTGCTGGGTGTGCCCAGGCACACCCTAATGTTTCAAAGGGCCGCCCTGGTGCGCTGGGGAAAGGACACTGCGCCGGGTTTGCCGCGCATGCGGGGCCAAAAACAGCAGGTCTTAGGACCCCACAGAAACAGGTGGCAGGGAGCAGCATCATCACCCCGCCTCCCAGGCAAGGGAAGTAACCATAGGCATACGCATGGGGTGTGCTGGGTGTGCCCAGGCACACCCTAATGTTTCAAAGGGCCGCCCTGGTGCGCTGGGGAAAGGACACTGCGCCGGGTTTGCCGCGCATGCGGGGCCAAAAACAGCAGGTCTTAGGACCCCACAGAAACAGGTGGCAGGGAGCAGCATCATCACCCCGCCTCCCAGGCAAGGGAAGTAAGATAAAACCACCGGGTGGGAAGGTGGGGGGGGGGGGTGGGCCCCGGGGC